TGCTATTGATTTCTACTTTTATGGCTTTATGGTCAGAAAAGATGCTTTGTAATATTTCAGTGCTTTGGATTCCGTTAAGGCTTGCTTTATGGCCTAATATGTGGTCTATTCTGGGGAAGCTTCCATGTGAGTTGGAAAAGAGCTGATTTGGCTGGAGTGTTCTGTATACGTCTGTGGGATCAGGTTGGTTGATTGTGGCCTTTAGATCTTCCGTTTCTTTTTTTTCTTGTTATTGTGCTTTAAGTGAAAGTTTACAATTCTAGTCCCTCATACAAAACTTTATACATACATTGTTATGTGACCCTAGTTGCTCTCCCTATACTATGACAGCACACTCCTCCTTTCCACCCCAGATTTCCCGTGTCCATTCAACCAGCTCCTGACCCTCTTTACCTTTTCATCTCACCTCTGGACAGGTGCTGCCCATTTAGTCTCATGTATCTACTTGAGCTAAGAAGCAGAGTCTTCACAAGCATCATTTTATGTCCCATAATCCAGTCTAATCTTTGTCTGAAGGGTTGGCCTCAGGAATGGTTTTAGTTTGGGGCTAACAGGAGTCTGGGGACCATGTCTTCTGGGGTCCCTTCCAGTCTCAATCAAACCATGAAGTCTTGTCTTTTTACTAGAATAGATCTTCCATTTCTTTATTGAGCTTCTCTCTGGATGTTCTGTCCGTAACTGAAAGTGGTGTGTTGAAGTCTCCTACTATTACTGTGGAGCTGTCTCTCTCTCTTTTCAATGCTGTTAGTTATTTTTATGTATTTTGGAGCCCTGTCATTGGGTGTATAAATATTTATTATGGTTATGTCCTCCTCGTGTATTGACCTTTTAATCATTATATAGTGTCCTTCATTATCCTTTTTAGTGGATTTTACTTTAAAGCCTATTTTGTGAGAGATTAACATTGCCACTCCTTAACTTTTTTGAGTGTTGTTTGTTTGACATATTTTTTTTCATCCTTTGAGTTTTAGTTTGTTTGTGCCTTTAAGTCTAAGGTGTGTCTCTTGTAGGCAGCATATAGATGGACCATGTTTTTTAATCCATTCTGCCACTCTCTGTCACTTTATTGGTGCATTTAGTCCATTTACATTCAGCGGAATTATTGTTAGGTATGAGTTTAGTGCTGTCGTTTTGATGTCTTTTTTTTTTGTATTGTTGACTGTTTTCTTCTGCTTAATTTTCTATGCTGAGTCATTTTTCTTCATGTATTTTGTTTTCATTGTTGATTTTGTATTTGCTAAGTCTTTATATTTTTGTTTTTTATTTTGACTTATGGGATTGTTAGTTTCCTCTGTGGTTACCTTAATATTTACCCCTATTTTCTAAGTTTAAACAAGTCTTTTATTTCTTTATATCGTTGTGACTTCCTCTCCATGTGAAAGATCTATGACTACCTTTTTTTAGTCCCTTTTTTGTCTTAATGTCATCTTTTACATACTGACCTCTCTGTTTCCCTATTTACAATGTTTTAGCTTTGATTTATTTTTGTGATTTCCCTTTCTAGCTGCTCTGTCCTGTGGTCTGGTCTTGGGTTGTTATCTGATGTTACTGATTTTCTAACCAGAGGACTCCCTTTAGTATTTCCTGTTGTTTTGGTTTTTGCAAATTCCTTAAACTTCTGTTTATCTGGAAATGCCCTAATTTTGCCATCATATTTGAGAGACAGTTTTCCTGGATATATCATTCTTGGCTGGCAATTTTTTTCCTTCAGTGTCATCCCATTGCCTTCTTGCCTGCATGGCTTCTGCTGAGTAGTCAGAGTTTAGTCTTATTGACTCTCCTTTGTAGATGACTATTCATTTATCCCTAGCTGCTCTTAAAATTCTTATCTTTGGTTTTGGCAAATTTGATTATAATATGTCTTGGTCACTTTCTTTTGGGATCTACCTTGTGTGGGGTTCGATGAGCATCTTGGATAGATATCTTCTCATTTTTCACAGTTATCAGGGAAGTTTTCTGCCAATAAATCTTCAACAATTCCCTCTCTATTTTTTGTTATCTCCCCTGTTCTGGTACTCCAATCACTCGTAGGTTATTCCTCTTGATAGAGTCCCACAGAATTCTTAGGGTTTCATTTTTTATAATTCTTTTATCTGATTTTTCCTCAAATAAGTTGGTGTGAAGTGCTTTATCTTTAATCTCACTAATTCTGACTTCCATTGCTTCAATTCTGCTCCTGTAACTTTCTACTGGGTTGTCTAATTCTGAAATTTTATTGTTAATTTTCTGGATTTCTGATTGCTGTCTCTCTATGGATTCTTGCAGCCTGTTAAAATTTTTCATTATGCTCTTCTGTGATCTTTTAAGTTCCTCTATTACTCTGTGTGTTCCTTGGCTTGTTCTGCATTTTGCATGATCTCCTTCCTGATCTCTTTGAAGAGTTCTGTAGATTAATCTTTTGTGTTCTACCTCTGGTAATTCCAAGAGTTCTCTTCCTCTGGAAGATTTCTTGAGTCTTTGTTTTGGGAGCTTGCTGTAGCCATCATGGATTGCCTCTTTATGTGATTTGATATTGACTGTTGTCTCCAAGCCATCAATAAATTTATTATATTTATTTATTTTATGTTTGCTTACTGTGTCCTAGCTTTTTGTTTTGTTTTGATATGCCCAAATAGGCTGCTTGTGTGAGCTAGTTTGATTATTGGCACCTCTGAAGCTCTAATGTCCTGTCACCAGGCGGTTAGATCTATTAGTAGGTATGTGAGCCCAGAAGTCCGTTTACTTTTCTCGTATGGATTTAGCTCAGGTGTCCAGGTAGTCAGTCACCAAGTGTGTGATGCAGGCTCTCACCTACAGTCCTAGACGGGCAGGGGTGACTGGAGTAGGCACAGGTATCTGTCTGCAGTAGGGGGTCACACGCTGAGCAAGGCAGGGGGCTGATGGCTGCCCCTGAGTATCTGGAAGGAAAGCGTGTCCCTGTTCCCTAGAGTCCATTGATGGGTGGGTTTTCAGCTGGACTATGGGCACCCAATGCTGTTGGCTGTAAGGACTGGGAAGCACCACTTATTCTTGGACCCGTCACAGGTGGCTAGGTGGTGTGGGTGGAGCCACCAGTCCTCAGGCCCCTGATGTGGGCAGGTGAGGACCCTGCTTAATGGGCAGATCGGTGTCAAATGTCACGAACATGCCACTCCACCATATAGCTCATACAGCTGAAGTTAGGCTTCAGGTATATACCCTGTTGTACTGTGGTAATGAGGGCCTACACTGTTGAAATGGGCCAACACAGGTCTATGCAGGGGTGAAAGGTATTCAAAATCCTTGGATCCCTTATGCCTTTGCCTAGGGAAAGGAGCTGTGCCTGCCCTGAGTTCCCAGCTTAGGGGAGCTGACAGATTAGTTTTTTCCTGTTTGTTAATTTGTTCCCTGTCCAAGGCCGGGAGAATGGCTCAGGGCACGTGATGGGTCTTACTTCCAGCCCAAGGGATGCGGCAATCACTGAAGCTGGCCCGGGACCCGGTGCAGAGCAGGGAGGAGGCAGATAAATGGGAGAGAGGTTCTTCCCAAACAGGGTGTTTTTTGATCCGTGCAGTGGGTTAGACACATGTGATTATCTTTTGCCAAATGAGCGCCACTTTTCACTGGTCCTGGAGGCTTGAGTAGACTCTTCATCGCTTGGTCTCTCCCAGTGTAGAAAATGCATCCCGAGTGCCACTGCTTGCCTCACTGCGTGTACCAGCCGATCTGGCCTGCAGGGTGCTGCTTCCCTCCGGGTCAGGTCTGATAACTCGCCGCTTCTACTGAACCATCTCTCCTTCCCACTGCCACTCAGTCTGATTCCTCAACTTTGCCTCTGATGTTCAGGGCTCCTAGACTGTCATATATAATCCATTCACTTGTTTTTTTGGGTCTTTGTTGTAATAGGGACCACAGGAAGCATATGACTACTCCACCATCTTGGCCCTACCTCTCCTTGTCATTATTTAACCACTCTGACCTCATTGGTTAAATGGGGACAACACTTCCTGCCACATAAGGTTGTATAATGGTTTGAATGGTAGCCTACAAATAAGATATGTCCATGTCCTAACCTCCAGAACCTGTGAATGTGACATTTGGAAAAAGATTTTGCAGATGTAATTAAGTCTCTCGAGATGAGATCATCCTTGATTACTCGAGTGGACCCAAAATCCTGTGACAAATGTCCTTATAAGACACAGAAGACACAGAGGAGAAGACCATGAAAAAACAGGCAGAGGTTACAGTTTGGAGCCACCAAAAGCTGGAAGAGGCAAGGAAGGATTCTCCCCTAGAGCCTCTGGAGGGAGTGCCGCCCTGTCGACAGCATGATTTCAGACTTCTTCCCTCCAGGACTGCAAGAGTACAAATTTTTGTTGTTTTAAGCCACCAAGGGAGCCCTAGTGGCACAGTGGTTAAAAGCTCGGCTGCTAACCAAAAGGTCTGCAGTTCAAATCCACCAGCTGCTCCTTGGAAACCCTATGGAGCAGTTCTACTCTGTCCTACAGGTTTGCTATGAGTCAGAATGGACTTGATGGCAGTGGGTTTTAAGCCACCAAGTGTGTGGTACTTTGTTACGGCAGCCACAGGAAACAAATGCTGTTGTCAGGACAGTGAAATGAGGTCCCCTACAACCAGAGAAACTATCTTTGTCCACTTTATGTAATGGGCTTCCATTACTCTTGAAGAAAGGTTCAAAGCTAAAAAAATGTTTGGAAGCCATGATCCAGTCCATTGTCCCTTTAATTTGAAAGAGGCAGGACTTAATCTGAGGCTCATGATTCTCAACGTACTGCTTTTTTTCTCTAAGATATCTCGTGAATGATATCTTAAAAAAAAAAGCCACTGGATGAAAAGCAGCAGTCTCCCCACCCTCACCAGACTAGGATGGCTTCATGGAAGAAGAGGGGAAAGGGTACAGTGATCAGCTCTTGCTGGCAAGTTGGAGCTGCCTTCCTGAGACCATCTGAAGACCCAAGAAGTCCTTCTAAGATGCCCTGCTCCTAGTCCTGTCCCCCCAACAGCCTTCCACCTGCCCTCACCTGCTTGACCTCCTGCTCCTGGCTGAGGTTCTCCCAGTAGTTGGTCACGATGAAGGTGGCGTAAGCCCCAGTCAGGGCCAGCTCCATGCTGGCCTTGTCGTCCTGGTCTCCCTGCACCACTTCTGCACCTTGCAGCCTCAATGCCTTTGCTGCCTGCTGCCCAGGGTCCCGGGTCACCACTCGAACCCTGAATGTCCCATCTTCCAGGAGTGTCCGGGCCACTGAGCCCCCCTGGGCACCTGGAAAGAGTCAGAAAGACCTCCAGGGTCAAAGCTGCCTGAGAAGCCCCCAAGGGGAAAGTCCACAAAGAGAATGTTCTACCAGAGCAAGAAACACCCAAGAGACTTTTCCATACACAATTCTCATTAAACCCTCACTTAAAATCCACTGCCGATTCCGACTCATAGCGACTGTATAGGACAGAGAACTGCCCACAGGGTTTCCAAGCAGTGGCTGGTGGATTCAAACTGCTGACCTTTTGGTTAGCAGCTGAGCTCTTAACCACTGGGCCACCAAGGCTCCAACCTCTTACTTACACTTTTTAAAAATAACAGCTTTATCAAGATATAATTCACTTGCCATGCAATTCAGATATTTAAAGTATACAATTTTGTGGGTTTTAGTATATTCACGGAGCTGTGCAACCATCATCACAATCAATTTACAACATTTTCATCACCCCAAAAAAGAAATTCAGAACCCATTAGCAGTCTCTCCCCATTTCCCCCCTCCCCACAGTCCCTGGCAACCACTAATCTACTTCCAATCTCTCTAGATTTGCCTGTTCTAGATACTTCAGATAAATGGAATCATATAATACATGACCTTTTGTGACTGGCTTCTTTCACACAGCATAATGTCTTCAAGTTTCATCATGTCGTAGCATGCATCTTCCTTATACTTTTAAAATTTTTTAATGGAATATTATTCAGTCATAAAGAGGGATGAAGCACTGATAGACGCTACGACGTGAATAAACCTTAAAGACATAATGCTACGTGAAACAGGTCAGACCCAAAAGGCTGCATATTGTAGAATTCCTGTTATGTGAAATGTCCAAAACAGGCAAATCGAACAAATCGAACCCACAGAGACAGGAAGTAGATTAGCAGTTGCTAAGGGTTGGTGTGGGGAGGGAGGGGGAATGGGGAGTAACTGTTACCAGGTACAGGGCTTTTTATTAGGGGGATGAAATGTTCTAAAATTGATTTTGGTGATGGTTGCACAGCTCTGTGAATACACTAAAAACCACTGGGTTGTGTGCTTTAAATGGGTGAATTGTATGGTATGGGGATTATATCTCAATAAGGCTGTTACATATATTGAAATATACATAATATGTATATATATATACATATATATATATCTATGAAGGAGCCCTGGTGGCGCAGTGGTTAAGAGCTCGAACTGCTAACCAAAAGGTCAGCAGTTGGAATCCACCAGGCATTCCTTGGAAACTCTATGGGGCAGTTCTACTCTGTCCTATAGGGTCGCTATGAATCGGAAACCGACTGCACAGCAATATGTCTGGTTTTTTGGTAAATACATATATGAAAGAAAAACAAGTGGGGGCAAAATAATAACACTACCATTTGAAAAAAATCCATTTAAATATATCTAATCTGTCTGGTAGAACACTAGAGAAAATCGCTCAACAGTAATGGATGGTGGAGGGGAGGGATGGGGGCCAGAGGTGGGAAGCAGATTTAATTTTCCTATCATGCGCAAGTATTACCTATTTACTAAAGTAATTAATCTTTAAAAATTAAAAAGGACTCTGCTCTCAGGTCGAGCCCCCACCGTCCTACCCCGGGTGTAGGGTCCCTGCCATCTCACCCCTGTGGGCAACTCCGGGTAGAACAAACCCCCGGTGGGCCGTCTCAGACCCTGGGGGACAGCCTGGCTCGAGGATGAGCGGCTCCTTGCCCTCGGGGCCCCGGTTTCGGCCCCTGGTCTAGGAGTTTGGCGTCTCGCTTACCTGTGGCTCCAAAAACGACCACAAGTTTCTTGTCCGGCATGTCCGTCATGAGCGCGCGAGCGGAGGAAAGCGGTCCCGGCGGGTCTGGGGTCGTGGGAGGCTGGGAGCTGGGAATGAGGCGAGGGGTCTAGGTCTGGCCCTACCCAGGACCCCGTACGCACACCCAGGAGGGGCCAAAGGAAGGGGCCCGGCCCTGAGCAGGGTGGGGCTGCCGCAGATCTCAGGCCCTGCGACCCCCGGCCGTCCACCCCTTGTCCCTCGGGACGACCCCACAAGCCTCCGGCCCGTCGCCCCCTCCCGCCCCTGTCTCACGCCAGAGTCACCTCCTAGCCGGGACACCAGCGGGAAACGCTCCTGGGAATGGAGGACCCCTGTTTTTTTTGCAGCAGAATCCATTGCGCAGGGGGAGTTGGAATCCCGCGCGAGGCGCAGGCACCCACTCGCGGCTCCTACCCCTCCCTGGCTGAGCCACACCTTTCCGGAAGCAGGCTGTAAACGACCCCTGGAAGCCCTACTTCTGACTTCCCTTCGCCTCGGCACCTGAGCACGCGGAACCGACCTGTTTTCCCCCGCTAGCACAGATGGTTCGTCCCGGCTCCTGCGGCCGCGCAGCAGTTTGGGATTTGCCCGCCTCCGGCTTGCTTAAATTGAATTTGTGTAAATACGGGTTGTAGCAAAATACTGGGTGGAGGGCACGTTAACAGGACGCTGTGGGTGATGAATGGGAGAAGCATATATATATATACATATATATATATATATATATACTCTTTATCTTACATGAGCGTCTGAAGTTTCAGATACTGAGTGTCATCTGAAGATAATTAAATCTATCTCGGTGACTCTTAACCTGCTGAGGCTCTGTCTGTGGCAGTTCTGGTACCTCTAACTTACATCTGAGGTTGCTACTACTTGAACAGCCTCTTAGTTATCTAGTGCTGCTGTAACAGAAATACCACAAGTGGATGGCTTTAACAAACAAATTTATTCTCTCACGGTTTAGGAGGCTAAAACAGAATTCAGGGCACCAGCTCCAAGGGAAGGCTTTCTCTCTCTGTCGGCTCTGGGGGAAGGTCCTTGTCATCAGTCTTCCCCTGGTCTACCAGAGCAGGAACCCAGGTCCAAAAAAGGTGCTCCCGCTCCTGCTCTTCTTTCTTGGTGGTGTGAGGTCCCTTTACCCTCTGCTCCCTTCTCTCCTTTATATCTCAAAAGGCATTGACTCTTGAGTCAATGCAACTATTGAGTCAACACAGCCTAATTCTGTAGAATGTGTCCTGCCTCATTAACATAACTGCCTCTAATCCTGCCTCATTAACGTCATTTAAAAAAAAAAAAAAAAAAAACTTGTTGCCGTGGAGTCGATTCCAAGTCACAGTGACTCTGTCGGACAGAGTAGAACTGCCCCATAGGGTTTCCAAAGAGCGGCTGGTGGATGCAAACTGCTTACCTTTTGGTTAGCAGCTGTGCTCTTAACCACTGAGCCACCAGGGCTCCACCATTAACATCATAGTGGTTAGGATTTACAACCCATAGGAAAATTACATCAGATCACAAAATGGAGGACAACCACAAAGTACTGGCAATCATGGTCTAGCCAAGTTGACACACATTTTTAGAGGACACAATTCAATCCATAACAAACAGATATGAATTTTTTTTCAACAGAAAAGTGGAATTTCTTTGCCTTAAACTCAAAAATGACCCTGGCATCCTCTTCTGAAAACTCATTGCTGGCTGGATACAAGCATTATTTTTTTATTTCATTCATTAGTTCCAAAATGTATACAAACCCGCTCAGAAATGTCAGCTGCTTGAGAACAGGTGATCTGTCCGTATCCACTGCTGAACCCTCAGAACATAAAAGAGTATCTGGTACATAGTAGGTGCTCAGTAAATATTTGCTCATTGACTGTCTAATCGATTACCAGGCACTGGAGTTAAAGCACAGCCTCCACTACAGACCATTCTAATCAGGGCCACAATAGATGGATCCTGATAGAATGGGAGAAAAATGTGGAATAGAGCCTCAAATTCCTAAAAAAACAAAAACACACCTACTGGACTGGTTGAGACTGGAGGACTCCCCAAGACTATTGCCCTGAGATAATCTTCAAACCTTGAACCAAAACTAACCCCTGAAGTGACCTTGTAGCTAAAAAACATATTGGTTTAAAAAATAATAAACATCACCCTTAAGTACTGTGCTCCTTTTAAAAATCACCTATATGAGACCAAGTGGTTGACAATTACTTTAAAACAAAGATGAGAATGTAAGGGGGCAGGGAAACTAGATTAATGGAAACAGAACAACCAGATGGAAATAATGAGAATGTTCAAGCATTGTGAAGAATGTAATCAATGTCACAGAACAACTTGCGAAGAAATTGTTGAATGTGCACCTAAACTGCTGTGTAAACCTTCACCAAAACACAAAATATTATTTAAAAAAAAAAAAAAAGTGAAACCAAACTAAAACTGTCTCTGTTTAACTGACCTCATAGTCCCGTGATGGAGAGAACCCACAAGATAATGTGTATTTTATTTATGTAAAATATTGGTCTTTATTTATTATAAAATGCATGTACTGTACATATTATTTTAATAAGCGTGCATTTATGTTTACTTATGTTTGTATTTATAAATGAAGATAACATTTATTTATGTTTTTATCCTGCATAAATCTCTTGTAGTCTTCTCCATACCCTAGTATGTCATACCTCTGTGCTCAGACTACCACCTAACTCCTACTCATTCCTCAAAATTCCATATAAGCATCACCTCCTCCAGGAAACCTTCTCTGACCCCTGGTCTGGGCTGGCACTATGTCTTGTCTGTCTCTGTAAGTCTCCTTCCCAGCACAGTGTTCAGCAAATAGTAGGAATTCAATAAATACCTACTCAATGGAACTGAAGTACAAATTAATCTGGTAAAAGATGAGGTTTTTTCTTCAGCTGCATGGAGTTAAACCACAAAATCCAAAGTTCCCAGGGCTCCCTTTTAAGGAAATAAATCCAAACAGGAAGATCCCCAGCAGGACCAGCTGCTAATTTGCGGGGCCCACTGCAAAATGGAAAGCCAGGGCCCTTGTTCAAAACTGATTAAGAGTTTCAAGATGCCAACAGCAGAACATTAAACCAAGCTCAGAATTCTTCTGAGCATGAGACCTTGTTTGATTGCATAGGTTACATGCCCATGTTTAATTAAGAGTAAACTCCCAGGAACACATCGGGACCAGAGCAACCCCAATGCCTTTTGGCCTTGCTGAACCTGCAGCTTGGAAACCAGGACAGGCAAAAAGTGGCAGGGAATGGCATTTCTTACCCTTGGCTGCCAGCCAGTTGTGCTGGCACCCAGAGGCTGTCTGGAAGTGGGCTGGCCGCTTGACGGGCTGGGGTGAAGTTCTTATTTTTTGAAGCCTGATATGGATTGAATTATGCTCCCCCAAAATATCTGTTGTAAATCCTAACCCCTATATCTGTGGTTATAATCCCATTTGGGGATGGGTTTTCTTTGTTATGTTAATGAGACTGGATTAGTGTAGGGTGTGTTTTGAGTCGATCTCTTTTGAGATGAAACAAGCAAGTGAGCAAGCAGAGATGGAGGAAGAGAGATGCTAAGCCACATAAAGGAGTAGAATCTGAAAAGAGACAAGGACCTTCCCTCAGAGCCGACAGAAACAGAAAGCCTTTCCCTAGAGCCGGCACCCTGAATTCAGACTTCTAGCCTCCTAACTGTGAGAAAATAAATGTTTGTTTGTTAAAGCCATCCACTTGTGGTATTTCTGTTGTAGCAGCACTAGATAACTAAGGCCAATCCCCACACAGCCCACAACCCAGAGCCTTGAGGGGAGAGATTTGGCTACTGACTGGTGCACTCCATCATGATTCAGCACTTTCTGTGTGACTATATCTGACAAAGGACTTGACTGTTCACCCAGTGCAGCGGCATACACTAATGATGATAACAGTGGGAGCCCTTGACTAGCTCGTCATAAGTGGCAGGCACAAGCTAAGCCCCACATTATCTCATCTGAAGCCTCACACCAACTGCTCCTTCAATCAGTGTCATTCCATTTAATTCAGTTTTATGTGGCCCAAGTAGGGAGAAGGGGGAAGTGCAGAGTGTACTTCCTTTTCTTAAAATTTATTCTTTTTCATTTCGTTTTTATAGCCAAGCAATACATAATGCCTTTATGCATTCTCGTTAAAAAATTTAAATGGTATGGATAAAGCAAAAGTGGCCCTTGGCATCTCTCAGTCATTCTAGTGTGTAAACCTTACAGGGCTTTGGGATGTATTTGTACACCTACACATGAACATGTAGAAATATATAATAATTTTGTAGATTAAAAAAAAAGAAAGAGAGATCAACCTGTTTTAGTCTGCTAGTGCTGCCGCAAGTAGGTGGCTTTAAAGAACAGAAATGTATTGTCTCACTGTTTTGGAGGCTAGAAGTCTAAATCAGCGCAGGGGCTTTAGCGGAGGATCCTTCCTTGTGAGTAGTCCTAGGCATTTTGTGGCTGCTTGTAGATGTGTCTGTCTTCCCCCTGTGTGTATCTCCATGTCTATTTTGCTTTTTTTAAGACACCACTCCAGAGGGATTAGGTTTAGGACCCACCCTACTCAGGTGTGACCTCATTAACAACAACAAAGTCTCTATTTCCAAACAGGATCATGTTTACAGGTGTAGGGGTTAGTGTGGAAGACATTTCTTTTGGGGAGGACACAATTCAATCCATAACAATACTAAATGTATTTTCCCAAAAAATTTATTATGAACATTTGTAAGTACAGTATACAGAAAAGTTGAAAAAACTGTGCAGTGAACACCCATATACCTACCACTTAGATTTTTCAATTCTTAACATTTTGCTATATTTGTTTTATCAGATCTCTATCCATCTACCCATCTATACATCCACCAACCATCTTATATTTTGATGCATTTCCAAGTAAGTTGTAGGCACCAGTACCCTTCACCCTTAAAAGCATCAGCATTCACGTCATTAAATAGTGTTCAATAATTTTTTAGTTTAATCTATGTACTATGAAATCTATTGAACGTACTTTTCTACAGCTTCCTCATCGCTTTCTACTAAATGGTTGGAGAGTTTTCTATGTCCTCCCTAGATGGGGGTCTGTTTTTTTTTTTTTTTTAACTGTGGTGCAACTTGTTTGTTGAATGGTTGACCACCACCAACCCCGTCATCCTTTTTTGATGGACATTTAGGTTGTTCTAAAGTTTTCACAAAAATGGAGTCTCATATTATGTTTTGCAATGACTTTCTTGGAGTTCTTGCAAGTATTCTTCTAGGATAGCTGCCTAGAAGTGGGTCAAAGAGTGTGCACATTCTGGATTTTAACATCTTGTCAAATTGTTCTCTCCATCTCCAATAACTCCTGCAAACAGCGTATAGGACCTTTGCCGATGCTGGATATTGCCAGTCTTAATCTGTAGACTGACTGATGGTTAAGGAAATGACTAGAAGTCAGTGTGCCTGGAACAGCAAGGGCAGGTGGAGTGAAGCATCAGGTGAGTATAAAGAGGTGGTGGCATGATCTAGCTTGGGGAGGAGAGAGAGGAGCCAGGGGGAGGAGAGTTGTAGACCATGGCCGGGATTTTTTTTTTTTTTTTTTTTTTGTGCTTTAAATGAAAGTTTACAGTTCAGTTTAGTTTCTCACACAAAATTTTATACACTCACTGCTATGTGGCCCTAGTTGGTCTCTCCACACCGTGACAGCACACTCCTCCTTTCCACCCCAGATTTCCCGTGTCCATTCAATCAGCTCCTGTCCCTTTCTGCCTTCTCATCTCGCCTCTGGACAGGAGCTGCTCATTTAGTCTCATGTATCTACTTGAGCTAGGAAGCACACTCTTCACTAGTATCATGTTATGTCCTGTAGCCCAGTCTAATCTTTGTCTGGAGAGGCGGCTTTGGAAATGGTTTTAGTTTTCGGCTAACAGAGAGTCAGAGGGCCATGTCTTCCAGGCCCCTCCAGTCTCAGTCAGACCATTAAGTTTGGTCTTTTTACTAGAATTTGAGTTCTGCACCCCACTTTTCTTCCGCTCTGTCAGGAACTCTGCTATGTTCCCTGTCAGGGCGGTCATTCCAAGTAGCCGGGCACCATCTCTTCCGGTCTCAGGCTGATGGAGTCTCTGGTTTATGTGCCATGGTCAGGATTTTGACGTTTGTCCTAAGAGCGATGGGTATCTGTGGAAGGGTTTTAGCAAAGGGGAAAAAGGCCAACGCTGGGAGACCAGATACAAGGCTGATGGTGAGAAGCGTGCAGATTCGAGAAATACATTTGCAGTAGGGCCGCACAGAAGAGGTTAAAGGATTGAACTGGCAAGGGGAGAAGAGGGTGGTGTTAAGGTTGACAACTTGATTTCTTGCATAACTGGATGGATCTAACAGGATTAATTGCGATTGGGCAAGAAAAACGTGTAGCCCGGAGGCGTCCTCATAAACATTCTCTCGATTCGACGGCAACAAGTTTTAGTCAATGCTAGCATTCATTGAGAAACATCCCCAACTCCCCAGCAGAGCCCGGGCTGCGTCTCCGGTTCCGGGCTACCAGCGCAAGGTGCCAGGTGCCGCCCGCAGGGGGCGTGTTATCTCCAAGCCCCGCCCCACGCCCCCTGGCTCCGCAGGCCCCGCCCCCGTGCGCTGCGTGGCACGTCAGGCCGCCTCGCGCCTGCCCGCTCGGCCGTGGCGGCGGCGCCTCAGGGAGTTGGTGAGTAAGGTACCCGCGCGCTGACGGACCGGCTGAGCGCCCCCGCGACTGGTGAGTGGCCTGCGCCCTCCAAGGCCTTCCTGCCCGGCTCTTCGAGCCGCGCTTCCCCCTTGGCGGGCCCTGACCTCCGCCCGGGTGCGGCTCTCGGGAGCTCGGCCGGCCCGTGCAGCGCTCCGCTGCGCACCCGGAGCGAGCCTGAGGGGGCCTGAGGGGAGACCCGGGCGGGCCGGGGCGCGAGGGGCAGCCAGCGGCGAGAGAAGGGCTGGCCCGGGGCGCTGCGGGGTGGGGGCGACCGGAAGCGGGGTGAGGCTGGGGAGGCCAAGAAGGGGAGTTGAGGGACAGAGACGGGCGTGGGGAAGGTGACAGGTAAGGGCGAAAGCCCGAGACGCTGCTTTCAAGAGGACATTTCAGCAGGGAGCTGGGAAGGCCTGATGGACTCGTTTGGGCCCACCCCCTCCCAATGTCACGAGGGTGACCCCCGTGGTCGCAGCTTCGGGCGAGGTGTGAAATTGACGCTGCAGCTTCTGACCGCCGAGCCCGGCTTGGTCCCTCCGTCGTTGGGCCTGGGAGGACCGGACCCTTTCGCAACGTCAGAGATTGGTACCCGGTGTGGCGCCTTTGGCTGGGCCATTGGCATTCGCTGGGTGTTCGGCCTTTTTACTGACTCACGTCAGTCGGAAGTGCCCTTTGAATCACTGTCATGACTTTAACGTGAGTGACCCATGGCACGCCTTGGTGCAGAGTGGCAGATTGGGAGGGGTCAGCTCTCGGGGCAGATGGTTAATCTGGACAAGGAGTTTACCTATCACCTCAGAAGCACAGGTGTAATAATTGCCCTGTAAAAAGCTGCCACGACTGCCTTGCACAGTGTCTGCACAAGGCCTGTGTCCTGCCATTTAAAATGGTTCTTATGAACCAGTTGTAGTGGCCTGTCGCTCTTCATCCTCACTGTGTTGTCCCAATGACTCTATAAACCAGACAGGGTGGAGTGTGATTTAAAAAATAAAAACAATGTACAGTACCCTACAATTTAAGAAGCCCTCTCTCAAAGATTCTCTTTGGCCCTTCCAACAACCCTGTGAGTTTTCCAACTTGTGAGATGAAGGTTATGATGAGACTCGGGTTAAGTGACTTTACCTGGTACCCACAACCAAGAGGATGGCCCAGATTATCTTGAACCTGGTCATCTGCCTCCAGATTTGGTGCTCTTTTCTAAATATGATTGTTGAAATTGGAAGTGGATTATGTTCTTTAAGCTGTCTTCCCCCTCCCGCTAAACTGTCCTTTCAAGTAGAAGGAAACATGAGCTTGAATTTCTGGTATGACTTTAACCTGTGTG